TTTTTTTAGATTTGATCTTTATTATTTTGATTATTATTTATTTTATTTGAGATAATTTATGAAATTATTTTTTTTTCAATTTTATTATTATTCAACTTTTTAATTTGTAAGATTTATTTTTTATTATTTTAATAAACTTGAGAAAAATAAAATATTAATAAATTATTTTTCAGTTTATTTTCTATAACATAAACCAAATATTAAAAAATATTTTTCAGTTTATTTTCTATAATACTATCAAATATCAAAAAATACTTCACTTTTCTGGAATTTATTTTTTTCAGTATTCACTTTTTTAAAAAAAAAATTACTGTAAACAAACAAAGCATAAACTAAAAGGATACTTCGAGGGGTTTTGCTACTTTGGTTTGTCTTTCCAGCATTGTATAGCCATTGAGAACGAACGTCGCTATAGCTTCTTCTCATGTGGCTTTGATGATCCTAGACCGTCGGATTGTAATGAGTAAAGTTATTGAATGATGGCCCCACTTTGAAATCTTTGGTGAAAGGGATTTGGATGCCTGGGGTAGGGATGTCTGTGCCTGTGATAATGGCAAGGAGAGGCTGACACTCATGGCTCCACGCGCATGCTATCTTGAGAAATTAATAGTTCTATCAAACGCGTGGTAATTTTAAAAAAGCTAAAAAAGTGACTTGAGATGTAGACTTAACCAAACAAAAATATAGGTATAATCTAATCAAATAATAAAAGAATAAACAATTACAGTTAATGGACCCAATTAAACAAAAAATAATCATGGAAACCTGCAAAAAAGAAATTGTCGCCAGAATGAAAAATAAAAAAAACAAAAAAGTTAAGATTCCATCCAATCTAATAAAAAAAAAGGAGAAATAAATGAAAAGAAGAAATAAATCTAAATAAGCATGCCATGAATACAAGTCAGGTGAATGAGATAAAATAAAAAAAAATAAAAAAAAATCAAATTAAATTTTAAATAAATCAAATATAAAATAATAAAATTAAAAAAATTAATTAAAAAAATAACAAAACAACTAACAACTAAGTAACCCAACTAAATTTTACTAACTGAATCATAAGAATAAGATAACTTAATAACAGATAAATTAGAAAATATTATGATACTCAATTCTAAATCAATTTAATATTAAAAAATAAAATACAATACATGTTAAGTTTTAAAAAAAAATCCTAAAAAATCAAATTCAACCTAAACTAATTCGTCAAATTCATTATCTATGTGATAAGACTAGGATAAACAAATAAAAAAAATCATGAAGTTCGATGTCAAAAAACACCAACCTTGAAGGATGGAACTACAAAAAAAATCAATTTTACAAATTTACCAAAACAAATTAAATAAGGAAAGAGAAATAAAAAGAGTCGAGATAATATGGGTTATTTTTTAAATTAATAAAAATTTTAATAGAAAGAAGAAAAATACCATAATTCAATCTCCAATTGAAGACATGTTGAAAGATGAAACTAAAAAAATAAATTAAAAAAATAAAAAATCCATGAATCCTAAACTCAAACTCAATTAAGAAAGTTAAATCCCCAACCTATTTAATATTAAAAGATGAAATAAAAAATATAAAAAAATTATCAAATAAAATAATAATAATAATAATAAGGATCAAATTTGATAGAAAAAAATTGAGGATGAAACTATAAAAAAAAGATCAATTTAAAAAATTATATACAATAAAGTAAATAGCAATTAAAAGAATAGAGATTAAATTTAAAAAATAAAAAAAATTGAAGAGGGTGAAATTAAATAAATTCTAATTTTATAAATTATTTTAAAAAAATATTAATAAAAAAATTGATCAAATCTAAAAAAATAATAAATTAAAAAGTTGTTTTGAATTTTTAAATAAACGAGTTCAAAAAATAAAAAGAAAAGAGAAATAAATGAAGAAAAAGGATTGTGTACACTAAACCAGAGCCTAAGTAGCCACACACTCCACTTCATCACAGAAATACTTATAAGTCAACATGATATACACAGAGTGTATATCGAGATAATTCCAATGCTGACATGAAAAGTGGAATTCGGTCGCTTGATAGTAATTTTTAATAATATTTAATATTTATTGAAATACAAAAATACTTATAAGTCAATATGATATAAAAAAACTATAAAGAAAGTTTAGAAACTTTTATCTTTAAAGGTGATAAAATTATTTTACCGTGCTAAAAATATTGAAAGGACTAAAAAGTCTATGAACATAAGTTTTAATTTTCTTTTTATTTAAGGGGTAATAAAATCATTTTATTTTGCAAAAAAAATAATTAATTTTCTTTTTATTTAAGGGGTAATAAAATTATTTTACTTTGCAAAAAAAATAATCTTCTTATATAATTTAAAAATGATAATTGAATCATAGTAAAAATATGATATTGCTTTCAATACCTATTTCAATAATTTTATAATTGAAGAGTAAATAAATAATTTCATTATTATACTATTACAATAAATAATGTTATATGTCCAGGTGCACAATAATTCTACGAGGAGATTTAGGTTTTTGGTAATGTTTGTGAGGGAAGCTGAGACGAAGTAACTTCCTTATTCTCTGTGAAAAAAAGGGATCGGCGATCTTTATGATTAATACAACTGAACTAAGGTCTAGTTTAGTTGTGTCCTGCAATTTCTCATCGTGGAGCCCTTCGATTAACATGGATTCCTTTCAAGTCAAATCATATACAGGTGACGACACCAACACACCATGTTATCCATGCCCGTATTTTTTTGTTTCATTTTCTTGCCAATATTGACACGGAAGTGTTCAAGTCCTTGGTCAGAAAGCAGAACCAGAACCCCACAAGGAAAAGTGATTTGACTTCGAGTGTTCGGTCTGCCTCAGCCTTTGCAGCACAAGTAAAAAAGTTAGG